GGTGGGTGGCATGGGTTTACCAGAGTAATTGTCTTCATTCGATGTCGTGATACCCAACAGCCAACCAAAAGGAATAGCAATGTTTTCGCTAATGAAGACAATTACTCTAGTAAACCGGCTTCATCCTGAGGCCAGCCACCAGGAACCAAGTCCATAGACAAAAATGTGCATGCTCAAAGAAATAACACACAATGGTTCTAGCTATCAGAGGTATAAATCTAGCAAGCCCAATGTAAGAAACTTTCAGCATTGCATGGAGATCTAGCAAACTACATAAAAATATAAGAAAGAAAAACGTACTGGCACCTACCATGTCAAGGCTCTTTCGTGACTGTGCCACTTCTCAATTTTCTTGACATCATATGCTGTTTGGATAGAATTTCTGCTATGAGGTGCTTCTCACCAAAAAGACGAGATTTTCTTAGAAGCAAATTTCTCGACGACGAATCCACAATATATCCTTGTCCAGACATCCACTGCAGAAGCTGCAAGAGCAGTTCCTTCTTCTCTGGTTTCGCAACATAACGTGAAATGGCTGCTCGGAAAATCTCCTGGTGAAAAACACACATATTATTTACGCTTAATAGGTGACAAAAAATATGCAATTTCTGAAAGCTCAAAGTTCCCATGCTAAAACTAGGGTTTCGTTGGCACGTGGGGAGGTGAGCTGTTCTGTTTAAAAAGTATATCAAACATAGATATTTCTGATTTTCATCAAGAAATTTTACTACACAAGCAATTACATAGATTGGTCAGTTTCAGGGAGAAGAAAAAGTAGCAAGCTCAGGATATGGGTATGGTTACAACTGTCTGCAGAAGATATTATAGGCAGAATGAACATTATTTCAACAGCATACCATTGTTTCATTTGTTGTCAACTGGAAGGTAACGGATATATTCAAAACAGTAATGCAGGCTAAAACTAGATGTACCAGAAAAGAATTCCAGGATTACTATCTTAATACCGTGTCTATTGTGCATCCAGAACGATGAAATGCTTTCAGTACATCATTTATCGAATTGATATTGCCTGACTTCATAAATGCAATTGCAAACTTCTCCAAAGAACGCAAAGGTATACACTCTGTGTTATCCTGTCCCATCAACAACCGCTAGATTAACCAGAAGTGTTCAGAAATCAAGTTAATAGATAAAGAAATATCACATACCTTCATTACAACATAAGCCTCTTTTAGCAGACCTGCTGCAACTAAAATGTCCAATACCTTCTGATGAAGAGATTTACAGAGTCTTCTTTTGCTGTATCTCAACATATTATAAACAGAAAGTGCTTCTGATGGCGCGCCAGCTCGTCCCAATTGCAAAATTAAAGAAGTACATAACTCCTGGAAAGAAAAAAAAAATCTAAGACGAAATCTGTAGATAATGCAGTTTAGTTACAAGAAGCCCCACAATAAGTGATTACTGATGCTCATATAATGTAAATAAATAAATGAAAGATATTAATAAGAAATAGTAAGAGCAAATTTATTGACTGGATGTGCTATACATATTCTCAACACCAAGGAAAATCTACCTCATCTAGTTGATGGCCTTTACTATGCATATCCTCAACAGTTTGATATGCAAGGTGATATAACCTCTCTCTACAGAAATATTTTATAAGAATATGGAATGTGTTCCAATCTGGAGATATAGATAACTCATCCATTTTTCTCAACGTCTGCATAGCACTATCCATATCACCCGTATTGCAGTAAACCCTAAGCAAGGTATTTAAGGTAACCAAATCATACATCCCATAATTAGCTTCAAAGTCCTTTGCGAGTAGACTTGCTTCTTGAAGTAGCCCACTTCGACATAAAGCAGAAAGCATGATACTGTAGGAATAACCATCTGAAGGGAAAATAATAAGATCATTTTTTTCTAAATAGAAGCAACCAATAAGTTTTGAATAAAATTTGCATGGGTCATCTTTTAATGACTAAATTAATAAAATTACTACTACTCGCCAGATCCAGACTCACCAGATTTCACATTTTTCTCCTTCATCTCAGCAAAAATTGTCTTTGCTTCATGTATATGCCCTGCCTTGGCAAGATTGTCCATCAATAGACAATACGGCATCTACATATAGAATTTCATTTACTGAGATTACAAAGCAAAAAATTTATCTGATAACATGATTGATATAGAAATGTAAAGGTAAAGGACATTCAATGAAATATGATATTGAAGAATACTATTTAGAATCTTAATGTTGTTTTTCTTGTACCTCGTCTTTGGCATAACCCAAAGCCTCCAGTTCAGCTAGAAGTACCCTTGACTTTTCAAATAAACCACCCTTGGCATACACCTTCAGTAAAGTAGTCAAGATAACCTGCACGCAGAGAAAGAAACTCAAATGTTTAACTTGATGGTTATTACAGCTTGTTCCTATGGCAACTAACCTTGAAACAGAAAATTGGTACTTTGGTATCAACGGCCAAGTGCTAAAACAACATGCACAGGTTATAAGATACCCTAAAATCATACAGAAATGATGAACACACAACAGACAAATGGTACCTTGTTGGGTTGTAATCCTAAAGACTTCATCTCTTTTATCAGCAGTTCGGCCTTCTCATAATTTCCATCTTCTGAGTAGGCATTTAGCAAAGAACTGTAATGGAACAAATTAGGTGTATAACCTTCATTCTTCATCTGCTGAAAAAGGACCTCTGCTTCTTCATACAAATTATTTGAAGCACAAATAGCTAAAAGATTGCCATATATTACACCATCCATTCGTAGACCATTATCTTTAAGCTCATTGACCAATTGCATTGCTCTACAGTAACCTTGCTTCAACTTGGTACAACCTCCTAAAAGCTAGAATTGAAAAAAGAAGAGAAAGAGTTAACCACTAAGACTGCACTATTCTCATCTAACAACAAGAAAAAGAATTCTGAATAGTAGTGCAAAAAGTGACTCCTTTGAAATACCAAGAATTAGAATTATCGTAATAGAGTCATTGTGACATACAGAACTATAAGTGACCAAGTCCGGTGATAAGCCATCATCCTTCATCTGATCAAACAACTTGATGCTGCTCTCAAATCTTCCATTTCTTACCATACAGCCAAGAACAGAATTACAGACTGACACGTTAATTTTCATCGACTTATCTGGAATATTATTGTAGACTTGCAAAGCTTTCAACGGATTGCGACTTATACCCATATACTTTATAAAACTGCTATATGAAGCAAAGTTAACGTTCTCGTTTTTCAGCATCCAATCAAAAACCTGCAAGATGTTAATATATATTTTTCAGATCGTAATGGGCAATAACATGAGATAGCCAACATGACTTTAATTCAACTCTAAGTACACAACAGATAAGTAAGTAAGTCATATGTGCAAGACATGTGATACCTTCATATCTGTATAGCACTAACACACGTAACAAGCGACAAGGATCTTAATAGAAATCAGAATTTTATCACGTACTGATTATGAGTTGTTTTCTCTAAGTTACTATTCAAAATTTTGAATACTAAGACCGGTAAGGTACATTGTAACTTGAAAAATAGTGTCAGCAGTTCTACAAAATCCAAGTTTAGTGATAGTGGCTCATAAGCATGAGCTATGTACATGTTCGTGTAAATACGTGGTTTCCTACTAAAACCACAATTGGTTGAAATGAACAAAAATTGACAAAAATTGACAAAAATTGGGGTTGTAGACCATGAATTTTGCAAACTTTGTTTTGAAAATCTTGGGTAATAGCTCTTGAAAATTGTGAATTTTAAAGTACACATGATTAATTGTCATTGGCTCAAAACGACCGAAAATAGGCAAATATCATATGTTATAACCCACAACAATAGTGAAACTTGAAGTATGCATACTTATTTGTCAGGGGGTCTAAACGAATGAATAATAACAACAATCGTGGATTATAGCTCATAAAAATCGCGAATTTTGAAACCCAATTAATTGTCATTGGGTCGAAACAGATAAAAATGTAAAAAATTTGTGGGTTAAAGCTCGTGAAAATCATAAATTTTAAGGTACACATACTTAATTGTCATTGGGTCAATGAAAGAAAATTGAAATCTTTTTAAATTATAGCCCATGAAAATCAAAAATTTTGATGTACATATAAGTACTTTTCATTCTATGAAACGAACAAAAATTGTCAAAATCATGAGTTATAACCCATTAAAATCGAGTATTTTTTATGAGTTGAATGAACAATAATGGACAAAAATCAAGGAATAAAACCCAGGAAAATCACGAATTTTGATGTTTGTATGTGTGTGTATTTTCATTATGTTGAAGAACAAAAATTTACAAAAATAGTGGGTTATCTAGCCCATGAACACTGTGAATTTTAAAATACACATAATTTTTTGTTATTGCATTGAAACAAATGAAATTAGATAAAAATCATGAGTTATATCTCATGAAAGTCATGAATTTGAAAATACGTATAATTACTTGACAATAGAATGAAAAGAATAAAAAATGTTAAAATCGCGGGGTATAACCCACAAAAATTATGAATTTTTAAGTAATCATAATTAATTGGCATTGGATCGAATGAATGATAATGGGCGAAAATCATAAATTAGTGCATGCGAATTGCGAACATTGAAGTTCACATAATTAATTGCTATTGGGTTGAAACAAACAATAGTGACCAAAATCATGGACCACATAGCCCATGAAAATGAAGAAATTTGAATTTGTCATTTGCCAAGGAACAAAAATTGTGAGCTATAGCCCATGAAAATCATAATTCTTTATGAAGAAAAATTTAGTTGTCATTGGTCGAAACCAACGATTTTAGAAACCAACGAAAATAGTCTAAAATCGTAGGTTTTAACCTATGAAAATAATATTTTTTTGGAACGCATGATTAGTTGCATTTGGCTGGAACAAAAATGAGCAAATATCATGGATCATAAAACCCATGAAATCACGAATTTTGAAATATGCTCACTTAATTATCACTTGGTCAAAACGAACTAAAATTGTAAGCTATAACCAAAGAAAATCGTGAATTTTAAAATATGCATATTTATTTGTCATTGGGTTAAACAAACAAAAATTAACAAAAAGTGTGTTACAACCCATGAAAAACGTGAATTTTGAAGAATGCATAATTGTTTGTCATTGGGTCAAAACAAATAAAAAAGCACAAAAATTATGTGTTATAATCCATGAAAATTGTGAATTTTGAAGTGTACACTTAATTAATTGTCATTAGGCCGAAACAAAATAATGGACAAAATTTGTGGGCTTAAAGCCCATGAAACTAGTGAACTATAACGTACACATACATATTTATCATTGGGTCAGAGAATGGAAATTGTCAAAAATTGTTGCTTATAGTTCATGAAGTGCAATTTTTGAAGAACGAAAACTTAACTGACATTGAGTCGAAATGAACGAAAATTAACAAAAATCATGGTTATAACCCTTGAATCATGCGAATTTTAAAAATTGTGGATGAAAATTTCAAATTTTGAAGTAGCATAACTAGTTGCCATTAAGGTGAAATGAGCGAAAATTAACAACAAGCATAAATTACAGCCCATGACAATCACGAATTTTGAAGTTGGTATAATTATTTACCAATGAAACGAAACGAACCAAAATTACCAAAAACATGGGTATAACCCATCACAATCGCGAATTTTGATGCAATCATAATTAATTGGAATAAACGATAATAGACAAAAACCATGGGTTATAGCCCATTGCATTGCGAATATTGTAGTTCGCACAATTAATAACTATTTGGTCGAAACAAACAAAAATAAACAAATATTATGGACTAAGCCAATGAAGATCACGAAAATAAGCATGATGTCATTGGGTTGAAATAGACGAAAATAAGCAATATCATGGGTGGGTTACAGCCTATAAAATCACGAATTTTGAAATGTGCTTAGTTAATTGTCATTTGGTCGAAACGAAAAAAATGGATGAAAACCATAAGTTATCACCCATGACAATTGTGAGAGTTCAAGTACGCTTCTTATTTGTCATAGGGTCAAAACGGACAAAAAATAACAAAAATCGTGAAGTATAGCATACAAAATCACGAATTTTAAAGTACGCATAATTAGTCGTCACAGGGCCAAAAAAATAAAAAATGCACAAAAATCATAAATAATGTAACCTATGAAAATTGCGAAATTTGCAATGAATGCCTAATTAATTGCCATGAACAGACAAAAACGGACAAACTTCGCAGTTCAAAGCCTATGAAAATCATGAACTTTAAGGTATGCATACTAATTTAGTATTGGCACAAAGAACAAAAATTGATAAATAAATGTTGGTTAGCTTATGAAAGTAGTGATTTTTGAAGAAAGAAAATTGTTATTTGGTTTATAGCCCATGAAAATTACAAATTTTGATATACATATAGCTACATATAGTTACTTATCATTCAGACGAACCAAATTGCCAAAATTGTATCATAACCCATCAAAATCACAAAATTTTGAAATAGTCATAATTAGTCACTAGATCGAGTGAAACATAATAAACAAAAAGCATGGGTTATAGCCCATAAAATCACGAATATTGAAAGTTGCATAATTAATTGTTATTGGGTCAAAATGAACTAATAATGGACAAAAATTATAGACTATAATGCATGAAAAATCACGAATTTTGAGTTACGCATGCTTATTTTCCATTCGGTTGAATAATGAAAATTGACAAATATTACAGCTTATATCGCATCAAAATCATGAATTTCTTAGTATGCATGATTAATTATCATTGGGTTAAAATAGATGAAAATAAGCAAATAATCATAGGTCGTATAACCCATGACAATTGTGAAATTTGAGACATGCATACTTATTTGTCTCTGAGTCAAAAAGAGAACGAATATTAAAAAAAATTGTGGGATATAGCCCATAAAAATCGTGATTTTTGAAGTACGTATGATTAGTTGCCGAAGGGGTCAAAACAAATCAAAATGCAAATAATCATTGGTTATAATCCACGAAAATTGCGAATTTTGGAGTGAAAGCCTAACTAACCGCGTTAGATCGAAATAGACAATAATGGACAAAATTCGTGGGGTAAAGCCTATGAAATTCGTGAACTTTTAAGGTATCATTACTTATTTATCATTGGCCCAAAGAATAAAAATTGACAAAAAAATATTAATTATAGCCATGAAAATTGTGATCTTTTAAGAAAGAAAACTTAATTATCATTGGGTCGAAACAATGTTGCATGGATACGAGCACAGGTGCAGATGGAGACACAGTACACACTACACATCAAATTTATAAAAGGTAAGATACGGGAACACGACTATATACATATTAAAATTAATATCTATATAAGATCGATATTGTTTTCCATTCACATGTTGTGAGGACTAAAATTCATATAACTTTTTTTATTGAGTAGATTATAAATTGAAAACCCGCTTGTCTTCTAACTAGATAGATACCTAAATGACCCTTCTCATAATTAGGCACACTTCAAAATTCTTAAGTGTATGCCCAATTAACTGCTCATTTTATTTAACTAGATACCTAAATCAGTCACCTACCAATCAAACTTTTCACTGAAAACCTAAAAATACAATTTAAAACTCTCATTCAAGACACATGACTTACTTTGCTTATGTTTAGGTCTGGTTAGAATACAAGTCATATACCTTAAACATGCATTTGTAAGCTTATTTTTGGTTTTTTTTTTTTTTTAATTTGACTAGGAGGTGGTTGATTGAGACAAAAAACCAAATGTTGTTTATGTAAAAATTAAAAATTAAAGGTGGTTTCTGTACAATGCCTATTTTAAAGGTGGTTTCCAGGGGGGGAAACTCTTTAAAGTATGCAAAATTAGTTGTCATTTGGTCAAAAGGAACAAAGATTCATAAAAATTGTGTATTATAGTCCATAAAAATCGTGAATTTTGAAGTATACATGATTAATTTTCATTGAATTAAAATGAACAAAAAATAGGTAAATATCATATATTATAACCCACAATAGTAATGAAACTTGAAGTATGCATGCTTATTTGTTATGGGTTAAAGTGAACAAAAAGTAATAATAATAATCATATGTTATAGCTCATAAAAATCACGAACTTTAAAGTATATGTCCAATTAATTGTCATTAAATCAAAATAGATAAAAATGGATAGAATTTGTGGGTTAAAGCCTAGAAAAATCGTGAATTTTAAGGTACATATACTTAATTTTCATAGGGCCAAAGAAAAAAATTGAAAAAAAAATATTGGGTTGTAATTCATGAAAA